TTCTACTTCCAGTTCACTAACTACCATACGTAAATAATTATTTTTTTAAGACACACCTGGTATGTCGCCTGAGTGCTAAGAAAGCCGCGCGCCAACTAAACAGGCAATGGGAACGTCTAGTATTTCAATAGGCGCGTCGACACTGACCGACGCGCGTATTGAGATTCTCCGCGTCTAGTGGCGTCGTACGCGCGTATGATTTCTCATGCGCGCGTCCAATTGAACAGCTAGTATTAATTCTATGTATTTTCAAAGCGAGCGTCAGCCGTACGCGCGTCATCTGAACTAACCCTGAACGCAGTTTCATCAATACTTCAAAAAATGAACTTCTAGATTCAGATTCAGTCTTGTTTTATTCCCTTGTACTCTATTAAATGCAACTTATAAGCCATACTATGAATTTGTTATTATTTTGTAGAAAAAGAACAATGCATTATATTAATTAAAGGGAAGGTTAGTGCTATATACCCTATTTAGATTTTTCCGGTAATTTTTTAATAACAATTCAAACATGTGATGTTATACTACAACATGGGTCCTGTTTTAAAGGGCAAATGGCAGTTAGTCTGCAGATGAATCATCAGGAACCATTATTTGGTACCAGTAAGCATTCTAAAGTATATCATTTTAAAAAAGCCGACTTTGTTGCATTATACAATGAGCTAACTGTTATTGATTGGTCATTTTTTAAAGCTTTTCAGGATGTTAATAAAGCAATTGACGAGTTCTAGTTTTATGGAATCTTGGATAAGCATGTACCATTATCCAAAAACTTCAAGCGGAAGTTTCCAAGATGGTATAATTCGTCAATAATTAAGAACATAAAAGATAAGGCAAGAAACAATCGTAAATGGAAACAAACTAAAAACAATTTTTACAGAAACGAGTTCATTAGACTTAGATCACTCATCAAATCACAATTAAAAGTCGCGTACGAAAGCTATTTGCAAGAAGTTCAAGAGTCAGTGAGAAGTAACCTCGCTTCTGTTTGGTCATTTATATATCAAAAGAACAAAACATCACGGATTCCATGTCATATGACTCATCTGAATAATGATTTCAGTGATCCTCAGTCAATTGTAAATGCTTTCGCTGAATTTTTTAAGACAGTTTACTTGCCGTCTGATACCTATTGCGGTGAAAACCTATCTTCTAACATCCAATGTATTGTCAACTTAACTCAGGAGAGTATAACTGAAAATGAAATATGTGATGCAGCAAAAAAACTGAAGTCCAAGATGACCTCAGGGCCAGATAAGCTCCCATCTTTCCTGGTCAAGGATTGTGCGTTTGGTATAGTATAGATGCTCTGGTTATTATTAATTTTTAATCTCTTATTGTCTACAGCTAAACTCCGAGATAAATGGAAGGAAACCAGGGTTTGTCCTATTTACAAAGCGGGTGACCGTGAATATTGAGTAATTTTGTCAAGTTATTTGAAATAATTCTTTACAACCTTTCCACCTATAGTCAAATATCCGAGTTGCAGCATGGGTTCATGTGTGGTAAGTCAACTGACACCAATTTGGCAGTATTCACTCAGCTAGCTTAGAATTTCCTAGCCTAGATAATCAGGGACAGTTGGATGCAGTTTACACTGACTTTTCTAAAGCCTTCGATAAGGTTGATCACGGGGTGCTAGGGGGTGCTAAGCTGGGTTCATTTCGTTTTACTGACAAATCAATATCGTTATTAATGTCTTATTTGTGGAAGCGACAGCTGTACGTTTCTTACAATGGTTTCGAATCGTTTCGATACAATTCGTCATCTGGGGTGCCACAAGGTTCTAACCTGGGCCCCTTATTATTTTTGATCGTTGTGAATGATATATCTGATTATATTGATTGTGCTAAACTGTTATTTACTGATGATTTGAAACTATATGTTAATATTAATAGTGAAAGAGATTGTGAGTATTTATAAACGAAACTTTGCCGTTTGGAAGATTGGTGTATGCTAAACAGGTTACATTTGAATATTGCTAAATGCAAGGTAGTTACTTTATCCCGAAAGCTACGTAAAATAGAATATGCATACAGTATTGGGGGAATTGAGGTCACTCAAGTTGATACTGTTCGTGATTTGGGTGTTATGTTTGACACTAGGCTTAGTTTTGACTGTCATTTAGATAATATTGTGAATAATGCTAATAGGGCTAATAGGTTTTCTCATCAGAAACTGTAAGCTAATCAATGATTTGACAGCACTAAAAACCTTGTATTTTGCTTATATAAGATCCAAGTTAGAGTATGCATCCCTAATATGGAATCCCTACTATAACTGTTATATAAATAGGATAGATTATGTTCAAAAAAAGTTTCATAAATATCTAGCTTTTAAGTAAGATAGAGTCTCCGTCAACGTGGGTCGGACTATCAAATTCTGTTGGACAGATTTAAAATGACGTCTTTGAATGTGAGAAGGAGGCACAGTTCTGTTATTTTTTTGTTTAGACTCTTGCATGGAACTATAGTTTCTTCGGAATTGTTATCACAACTACAACTTTTAACGCCAAGATCCGTTTCAAGATGTAATGTTACTTTCTTTTGCAGTCGTGCTAACACAAATTTGATTTGGAAATCACCTGAAAGGGTTACGTGTTTGAATTATAATAGTAATTGTAAGTTTTGGTGACATATTCTTATGTTCTATTTCCGAGCTGAAATGTGTTCTCCGGGAGCGCCTTAGATAGTTTTATAAGTTAGGCTCTTGTAATATTTATAATTTAAGATTTTGGCCTATAAATGGAATATTATCTGTTGGGCAATAAAAGCTATAAATAAATAAAAATAAATAAATGAATGCACTAAATTTCACGTTCCAGATCAATTCGAAGTTATCAATAAAATGTAGTGAAAGCTAATATACAGGTCCAAACTAAGCGTTTTCGGCATAGTTACGTTTACATATCCTTACCACAGCTTTACGTAAAACTTAGTTAGATAATACACACATTTAAATGCCGGACTTGCATACTTCGTCTTTGCGGATCTTTAACTTGATGTTGGCCTGGAAGGTCAAATTCAGTAGAATTGCATATTGAATGCAGTTTCCCTTTTAAGCAGAACTTTGTTATTTTTACAATATCAGTTGGTAGGATTAGATCATTATAAAACTACGAAATAAGCAAATAAGGGTATAACATTAATTTCACCTTTCATTTACATTATTATTTTACACCTATTTTCCACGAAATAATAAATTCAGAATATATCTTACAGTGCATGACCGCGCTAAGAGGGAGCAGCTGGGACGTGCCCCTCTCTGTAAATCCTGATAGAGCTCAAAATTTGCCTACTTGGAATGATTTTGCGTACAATTTGAGATTCCTCCCCCCTAGTAAAATTTGTAACCCCCGCTTTTCAGAAGATTTTGGGGGACCCTTTAAGGAGAATTCCTGCAGACGCTCACGGGGCCGTTGAACTTGATAAAATAGAAACAAATGAAAAACGTAAGTCGACCCCGTAATTTTGAGTTCACCAAACATCTTTGCCTCAGCTCCAAGCATCATCTCATTTTGATTTGAGGTACGTGTTACTTAAATGCTAAAAATGAGGTGTTCGAATAAATAAAAATGTTTAACTAAAGGATCAAAAAAGGGGTTCAATTAGTCTGATTAATTAGAATCACTCACTTTTTTTTTCTACAAAGTGATTGTCCGGCTTAGACCGTGTTGATTTTGATAGAATTCAAAAATCGAGTCCGGCACTGGATTTTAACCGTTTATCCAGTTTTACGTTACTCCTTTGTTATCGTGCAAGGCTTTAACAAAATCGGTTCAATACTGCCAAAGATACCTGTATGTGATATTAAGTATTTGGCGTGTTTAGATAAATCTCGTATATACGTAAAAATTGAATTTAGAGCATTTTAATGTTCGACATGAGAAGATCTGTGTTCATACTTTTAACCATTACACTATGCTCATATAACTCCCTGTATATTTCAGCGTGCTGTGGTACCCAAATGAGTTATATGTATCAAAAACTTTTGCTTTACTGTCGAAAGCTTCATCTTTATAAAATAGGGCTTGATGTTACTTTGCAGACGCATAGTGCTTTGATCACGTCCTGAGGTGCTTTCCAGTGCTTCGGAATTGAGATTTGTACTCGTATGCACCCGGAGTGTGACGCTCCCGAATTACTCTTGCAAATACGCACGGGAACGCGACGTGTGTTGATGTTTTGCTGTGGCGTTGACAACTTGTATCATACTGCCAAACAATGAAAATGTAATCACGTTTTACCTTTATTATCAGAAGCATTATCAGACTATCCAATTGATGCCTGATGATGCTTTTAGAATGATGGCGTAATACGTCAGCGGTCTGTATTTTTATTAAATGTGTCGAATTCTTATTTCAATGTAGACACTCAAAATTATTTCCAAAGTGTCTAGTTATAGATGAAACCAACTACAAGCTGCTATGAACCTGCATTCTTGCACTTTCTTGTGATCTTTATTATTCAGGAACATCTCAAATGGACGTTGTGACTCTGGGTCATAACATTATCAGTTTCCTACTATCCTCCATTGTATGGTATGTTTTAATGTGAGCTTCATGGGAAAAAAACAAAAACGATCAAAATACATAACCTAACAATCTTGACACATAGTAATGTTCGTTATCACTACTATTTCAAAAATAAGTAGCTCAGGTGCATGATACTTAGAGCACTGGAGCTATATTGACAGGTGGTGGGTAGCTCCGAGGTACTCCGAGTAACACAAACGGCGCACTGAAAAGCACCTTTGGCTGTCTGAGTTAGGTTCGAGCAAATTTTTATTCCTTTTCTGACGTAGGTTGTTGATGTGAAACTCCGAAGAGGCTGCTGGAGCCATGTTCCGAGGCGAAAGCTCCGCTTTGTATACGATTTTTTTTTCAAATGACGCTCTACCTATATCTACCTACCAACGATACTAGGCCAACATAGTACTTTTTAGCGTTGCAATCTACGTTTACAACAACTATACTAACTACGTTGTGAGTAAAAAGTTAGTCAAAAAGTAATAATCACATTTCGATGTTGCACATTGAGCGGCGGTACCTTAGCCGATGAGGAGGAGTACGGCTCGTCGAAGAGTGCCCAGATTTTCGGTTTAAGCTTCTGCCATCTTGTGAGCGAACCGGCGTAGTACGCCTCTTCGTAACCGAACATCCTGGCGACTTCTTCATCGCTGGGCCGTTCTGCGTCTATGTCAAGTTTGTCCAGGATAGCCAATGTGGCCTGCAATAAAAAAATGGCTATGACGAGACTGGTTGTATTTTCATACTGTACCGTACAGTAGATTTTCAGGAAAGTATAAAATGGACACTCTGTGCATTGAAAGACAAAAGTTACTAGAATATTATTCAACAACTCAAGCTTTATGACAAACGCACGAAGTGAAGCTAAAATGAAAAAAAGCTGACAAACCAATTTCGTGTTGACTCCATGTAATTTTCCATTGCAGGAAATGACTGCTATGCTAGTCTGTCATAGAACCATTAAAGTAGCACGTCAGTTACCATATATTTGGAGAACCAGGCTGTTTTGAAAGTAGTTGTTTCAATACAGTTAAAATCGTAGCTGGTGTGGTATTTCTTAAAGAAACTCTTAATTGGAGGGTTTCGAGGATCTGGATGTCCGAGAAGCAAGGTGAGAATGGCAGCGAAAAGGTGGATAAGATCTTTCAGAAGGCGGCTCTAAGAGTCTGACTGCTCCAGGTCCCATACTTGGGATGAACGAAAAAGGTTCCGAACTGATTATATGGAGTTCCACATTGCAACCATGAGGATTGAAGTCACTAATTAGATCTAATTACCTCTGTCGTAATAATATAATACGACAACCCTAATGACTCCAGTCAATATAGTTCAATCTACCAATCTATTTTGGTTTAGATTTAAACACTTGCCATGTGGAGTAGAAATTCTTCATCTCGATTTGAATTGAAGATTTAACTGTGCCATCTTGTAGAGGAGAATAAGTAATATTAATAATGTTGCCGACCTTCTTTGGGACTAGATTAGTCTTATCCCAAACAGTAAAATATCTGGGAATTATCCTGGACTGCAAACTGAACTGGAAAGAACATCTTGAATACAAGTTAACAAGGCTCGCAATTCAATGTGGGCCTGTAGACGTATTGCCGGTGTAAGTTGGGGGCTTAAACCCAACAACGCGATTGAGTGCAACGGAAGCTCTGTTGGATTTCCCACCGTTGGATCTGGTGGCTGGGCCTTCTTGAATCCTGTCAAGGGACATACTGCCATCTTAGTCGAATTGCAAAGGGAGGATCCCGCCCTTCTAAGCAGGGGTGACCGTATTTCCCCTATATCGCTTCTACCGCAAGATTAATGTGGAGTATCAAACGAGGGGGGAGTGGGATGTCGGTAACTAGAGACTCTCCGGAGTTACCGGGCAGGTCTGGTACACGGACGGCTCGGTCACCGAACAGGGCTCAGGCGCTGGGGTCTCTGGGCCTAGAACTAGGCTATCTCTGTCTCTCGGTGGATACACCACTATGTATCTCGCATTCTGGAGGAGGGTGGGCCTAGGAGAAGAATAACAATCTCATCCGATAGCTAGGCTGCAATGGAGGCACTAAGTGGCTGTAAGATTACTTCGAGTCTTGTATTGCGGAGGTTCCGGATTGCCGCGCGGCGAGGCATCCGGAATCGTTAATGTGGGTACCGGGACACTCTGGGATAAGGGACAATGAGACGGAGGATGCTCTGGCGAAGACAGATCGGCCAGCAAGCTCGTTGGTCCTGAGCCAGCTTTAAGAGTGCCCGCGCATTGAGTTAGGAGGAAAATGGAGACGTGGATTGAAAGACAACACTCTCAGAAACGGACAAGTATCTCCAGACATCTCCGCCAGGCACGCGAACTCATAGAAGGGCCCAGTGCTAGGGATGGACGTTTCTGCTTATCTCTAGATAGAGCCAACCTAATGCTGCTGGTGGGACTGTGGTCTGACCATAACACATTAAGGCGCCACCTGCACGTGATGGGGGTGGCTGAGGATCCCTTGTGTGAGCGGTACGAGGTAGAGAAGGAGACCTCGGCGCACGTTCTGTGTCGCTGTGAAGCTCTGAGCTTCTATAGGCAGACTATACTAGGGTCCATTTACTTTGGACCCTCAGGATGTCAGGAGCCTGGCTCAAGGCCATACTCAACTTCGGTAAAAAATCGAGGCCAGTGATCTAAGAAATGTAGAGGTGCATAAGGGCCCATTTAGGCGGTGGCTCCTTATGGTGGCCCGAATGCCTCTAATTTCACGATTCATTCATTCGTTCTACATTAACAACATGCAATTTATTTTGAAATCTCGTCTCAAATGGAGTCAGAAAAAGGTAAAAGTGATTGAGGGATAAGTCTGGCATGCGAACCAAGTGACTGATATATACCTAGGAAATTCTTCTTTTTTGGCAATGTCAATGTATGACGTATTTACATTTCTTGAATCAGAATTGAAAACTCTATTCATATGTGTGAAAATCCAATATGGCGTCCAGTAGAAAAAATAAATCTGATGGTGGAAGACAAGAGTCGAAACGCCATATTGACATTCTGATTATGCCATCGTGTAAAGGACAAGAAGAGGTAATATTAATGTGCAATTTATTTTGAAATCCCACTTACAAATAAAGTTAGGAAAAATTTAAAATGATTTTTGGAAAATCCGTCTTTGCCGTCTCTTTCCGGGAGTATTTTGAATTCTGAAACGTTCTAAGCAGCATTTTGTAATTTACCTAAATATGCAACTTGGCCGATTCTTAAGCCAGTTCGGATCTCTTACAGTTTCCGAGATCCCAATGGTGAGGGTCGAATTTGAAACAGCCTTTATATGTATATAGGTATCTCATATGTAAGTAATATGAATAGATGACCCAAATTCATATACTTTTTCTAATGGAAAAACTTGAGTGATTGAGAAGATAGCATGAAATCTATAGAAGATGGAAATACCTCTTTCTATTCTATAAAAGGCCAATAATGAAAACTAGAGTAGCTTTAAAAGGAGATACATTCCTGAAGTCAACGCATCAACCAAAAATACTCAAATTTAGTTCTTACGTCAGCGGCACTAAATTGGCTGTTTGGCTGTGTTATTTTTAATGTTTTGTAGAACTTCTTCATTATAGAGATCAATGCTATACTAACTTCTTCCTCTATATTAGAATATTAGATTTAGTGCAATTCTTCCGCCCTCTGAACAGAGATAGTTTGTATTGTCTATCTCGGTAGAAGCTTTTGTTGGTGTATAACTAGTAATTAACGTTATCATATTAATCAGATTTTGCTTTGAAGTAATCTTGGATCTGCAGATGGTCCTTTAATTATCAAGACAAACCTAGACCGTTCAACATTACTTCCATTTCCTTCTCAAAGTGGTCTTTCTAAGACAATTTACCGGAGAGATGCACATAGCCAACATTGAAGTTTTATACGGGGTGTTTTATAAAAGTGGAATTAGGCCTACTTGTAAAAATGGGGGCAAAAACAACATATCTACACTTTCAATAGAATTCAAAATCCTCATCTCCCTGTCGCAGACTAACTGTATCAAATAAATGATTACGGTATTACCTCTGCATTAAATGTCATAGATCATGCCTATAGGATTTTCTACAGTCAGCAATAAAAAATCTAGAAGGTACGAGAAATGGGACAATCACGAATGTACTTGAATAGGGTATGTGACAAGGTACTTAACAAAGTTCTACGACGTATACTCTAGCTGGATGTAGTTATTTTAAGCAGATTTTTCAGATTCATGAGCTTCATGTAGGCTAATGCAGGTAGAATTGCAAATTTTGTTGAAATTTTATTTTCGAAAAAAAAAGGATTGTTGTGCAAAGGTCAGTTTGCATAAAGTGCAAATTCCGTTAGCCAGGAAAGCTGAACTCCGTACACGGATTACCTATTTACTTTGATTCGTAACCGCTAAAAATCATGAACAGATGCACTGGGTACTCGGTTTGTTTCCGGTAGTTACTCGGCCCATTTTACCGAGTACCGATTTCGCAGGATAATTCTCGGTCGCAACGCAAAACACACGACTTGCGTAATTCAAACAACTGCAGATGCGATGTGCTTGCTCCAAAACAAAATTATGCCCGATAACAAATAAAAAAATAGCCAAGGTTACAGCATGTTTGACGTTAGTATCAAATGCCTGATTTGGATGATTTTTAGTTAATGTCTTCCGTCTTCTCCAGCAAGCTAGTGTGTTTCGAGCCTCGAGCAGCTACTATATTAAGCTAAACTGAAACACCCTTTTAGTATTGCCTTCTTGCACTTTTTATTTGCTCTTTTATCTTTCATATGGACTCTCAAACAACAACAAAAACTAACAAACCAAATAAAAATAATAAAATAATGTATCAAAAGTAGCGTGAATAACGAGTACATACATAATTTTGATTCAGTCCTTCCCAAATCTGAATTGGTTCCACTACGAAATCCAGTGCTTCTTTTGTAACCTCCTTCCAGAAGCACTCAAAACCTATCAAGGTCTGATTTTAGAAGTGTAGGTTTTGAATACTTTAAAAATATGCACGGGAAGGAGGATATATCAAAAACAAATGTTTCAATAATATGCCAAATAATATGATTTTAATTTTAACTCAATATTGAAGCTGTTGAATTCCGCGGTGAATATCATGTACCGAGCTGTTGCAAGACTCTCTCAATATAAAAAGAAAACCAAAGATATACATAAATACAATAACCTGTAACGGATCACTCACAAGAAATTGTCTGAGCTGCACAGCCGTTTTTCGTTGTGGTGCATTAAATCCTTAGAAAAGTGGAACTAAAGGAACCTTTTAAAAACTGAAATATAATTTATCACTAACAGTAGCTGAAATAACCTAGCTCAAGTACTACTCGGTGCATGCGTGCATCTTCACACAGTACGGTTACGTAGTCGACTAGTAGTGAAGTGTAATGTAGGCTTTAAGTCATTTTTTGTAGTTGTTTTGTGTATACCTGATGGAATAAGCATTGTGGACAGCTGGACCTCTTGAATGATGGTAATTCTATATTCTTTGGAGACTTCAATGCTCCTCGCTTTGTTGAGAAGAGGATGCTTGATCCAAATACAAAAGTTATATGCAATTATTTGGATCTGCTCAATTGCCAGCAACTGAATACTGTGACTAACCACTTAAGCAGTTTATTAGACTTAGTAATTACACGTTATACTTGTGAGGTAACTCATGATGTTATGCTTTGAA